ATTTTATTTAAATAATAAATTTGGGAAACGTGTGCAAATAGTTGCTTGAAATGAAGATATTGATCATATTACACACAATATATTACTTAATAACATAAGCAAAATTATTTGTTTTTAAATATACACTATCGTTTTTTTATAATCTTTACAATTTTTTAGTTGCTGAATAAGTAGAATGTTTGAAAGCAATGCATAAGACAACATTAAGATATATCTTTAACGAATTCTTTAAAAAATATTTTTAAGATATACGTAATGCGGGGTCTATAATAGAAGTCGCAGCAGTCGTAGGGTCTTAAGTCGTAGAAAATTGACCAATCATAGTCGATTATTCTTCTCATATTCTACTGTGATTGGTTAATTTTCTACGACTTAAGACTCTACGACTGCTACGACTTCTATTGTAGACCCCGCTTAAGATAATAAGTGGCTTAAAATTATAAAAGGAGCTAATAAGGAGCATACAACCACAACGCCAGTTATAAGTAGCACAAATATATTCAATTTAAATCAAGTAAACGTATCGGGCACTATCTGACCATCATCAGTATAATCAAGTTTCATATTAAACAATATATAAATTATCAAACAGAAATTGTACTTGTTAAAAAATTATCGTTCGCAAAAAATTATTAAAAATACGACGCTCGATAGTAAGAAATCGATCCAGTCCAAACTCAACAAGAATTTTTCAGAAGCAGTTGAACATCAATGTCAATTTGTTATAATATAGAAGATATTTCCATTTAAATATGCGATTGCCAGATGCTATATATCCAAATATTAATTGTAACCAAACCAAAAACAGAAACAGAACAAGAAATTTTTTAGAACTATAATATGTTTAATATAAATTTAATTCTTAATCTATATCTCGTATTAACGATTTTATTAACTCACCACATATTTGCTAACATATGTATTCAACCAAATTGTCACAGATTCATCTTCCACACAAATTTATAGCGTCGAACAAATTATACATTTAACTTTAAGAGACTATAATTTTCATATAAATTATCGTTATAATGAGAACAACATTATCAAGCCAAGTACATTGTGACCGCTTATCAGTGTACAGGTAGTATTTATATTTCATTTTTAGACAAAGAGAGTAGAGTTCTGGAAAGAGTCAAACATTATTATGAGAGAGGAGGGCATTTACTAATGATAGGAACATATACCTCAGGAAACCGTTCCGTGTCACTCTGCTTATTTAAACATTTTCTTTGTTTTTTTATGTGAATCATCTCTGAGATCATTCTTTTATAGTAAGGTTGTTCAGAATCAACTATATTGGTATTATTCTAATCTATTTCGTGATTGAAATCTAATATATGCTTCGAAATGACCGACAAATTATACGATGGTTTTTTATAGTCGCTTTTATGTTCTTTTATTCTAGTTTTAAGCTTGCGTTTAGTTTGTCCAATATATGTAAATTCGCAATCTTGACAACTTATTTAATATACTACATTTGATTGGTCTTCTTTTTTAATTATGTCTTTACCTGTTTTTATAACAGAACTTAAATTATTTATAGGTCTATGAGCAATATTAAAATTAAATTTATTTGTAATAGATATGAACTTTTCAGAAGTTTTTTGAAAATACGGAATGGTGAAATATTTATTCGAAGTATTAGTTGAATCTAGTAAAATAAAGTCTGCCAGGAGTTATTGCATATTATATATATAATAAACACAAGTAATATATTTCATTCCTTCCGCAAATTATCTAATTATTATTATGTATGATTTACGAAATTCATTTTCAGGTATTATTGAAAATTCAGGTATTATTGAAAATGGTTGGACTCGTCGACTTTACCTCAACTGACTAGACTACTAAAAACTTTATTTTTGAAAGCTGGAC